ATGAAGATTCCACTCGCATGTTACCGGCAAAGTCCACGCTCGGAGAATCTTTTTTTTTTCCACTAGTCGCCCAATATACTATTGTTTTTTAAATAAAACCATTTGTTTCGAATTAAACTTCTATAACTTGAAGTTTTCTGTAAATCGGAAACTAAATATGATAAGTCAAATTTCTTTCAAGATCATGGATCGGCACAACGTCTTACAACTCATTTGGAAACTTTATTACACAAAGCTAACTTTGACATAGGAAAGAGCCTCGCACATAATTTTTGGGCTAGCTCTATCGAACAATAATTCATAAAGGTTATAAGATATTTACAACTTTCATCATCTCGTCATAATTTGGAAAATGCAATTTTCAAAACTAACGGTACGTTATTAATGAAAAATAATGGTGCATCAGGCTCGGCCGTTGTACATCATTAAATTTGATGGAAGGCCTGTTAAGCGATATCCAGACAAGACCCAACATCAACCCTCAAAAGGTTTCAAAGTATAAATTGCCTTTTAATATAATATTGTTTAAAATTGCTTAATTGTATTATTTTAAATTTTAATATATAAAGTAAGTTATAAATATAGTTAATAGGTTGAGTATTTAAAAATATTTTTTATTACAATTATTATTAAAGTAATTATTAATATTATTATTAAAAAACTGACTGATATAAACAGTGTCTACAATACTGGATCTATTTAAAAAATTTAAAATTATTTAAAAATATTAACTGATGTCTAAGATAATGAAATCAAAATAAGAGTTTCTTAGGAATTTATTTTAGAACTTCTATTCTTATTAGTTAGTTATTTATAAGCCTGTGAATTGAATGCAAATGCATACCTGCAGCCTGTTTATTAATGAAATTACAAATCTTTCAATATTACGTAAACTGCGAAAATTTAATAGTGCCTATAAATACATAATTTGACGTTGGCGCTTGATTTGGCCATTTTCTTAAGCATGCATGCATTTTTTTGCTTATATTTCAGCATATATGTATCCATTGGACTAATTTGTGCATAATTAATTGTTCTTATCTTGAATATTATGATGCATATTTTAATGGTTTAAAGTGCATACTTTGTACAGCCTTTTTTATTAATGATGCCTTGAAACACAATAAACATACGCAGACTTAGAAGTGGGTTTATGTGACTAATTGGCTAAAGAAAATTCAAGTAATATTCACCGGGTAAAAGTAAGATGTGGAAACAAATTTTACCCAAAACGCCATGGGTAAGTTGTAAGGGTAACAAATTATATTGTACTTATTACAACACCTCAAGACGTTGAGTAAAAAATTTTTTTTTTATTTCAAAAATTTTCTTTTTTTATAGGCTACAAATTCCACCCCCAGGCTAAGGAAAAAAAAGATTTTTCTTTTTTTCGCTCCACCCTAATAGACATGCATATACAATGTATATTATACATGCGTCACGTATTGTTATTTTAACAACCAATAAATACTTAATTTATAATTATTTCTTCTTGTATTTACCTATTACCTTGTTAGGTAGGTACTTAATTAAATATAATTTAACAAAATTAAATACTTTGCAACCAACTATGTACAGGGTGATCCCCTATAATGTCGCCCCCCTTTAACTTTTTTATTTTAAGTGTCCCAAAAAATTTAAAAGTGTGGTTATATAGGTACTAAAAAAATACTTTTTTTCTACGTATAAAGAAAAATGGAAAATTGATCAATATACAGGGAAAACCAAAAAGTTTATTTTTTTTGCAATGGATCACCCTATAAATGAATTTATTTTTCGATTCCTTGTAAAATTCTGAGCATAATTCATATAACAAACCATATACCTAAACTCAACCGTTTCTGAAATATTCGCATTCGAAATGTTATCATTAAATGTTTTTTTAAACTGTTAGAAATCAAGAAGCCTCAGTATACCAAAATTTTTATTGAAAATAAATTACTATAGTGACATTATGTCAATGTGTCTTGTTAAATAAGTAAAAATGGCGTACTCAGGCAGAGAAAGACAAACTATTATCTTAAAAATAATTTAAACATTTCAGAAACGGTTGAATTTAGGTATATGGTATGTTACATGAAATATGCTTAGAATTTTACAATGAATAGAAAAATAAATACAAATATAGGGTAATCCATTGAAAAAAAATAAACTTTTTGTTTTTCCCTGTATATATACAGTACACTGATCAATTTTCCAATTTTCTTTATACATAGAAAAAAAGTATTTTTTAGTAGGTACCTACATAACCACACTTTAAAATTTTTTGGGACACTTAAAATAAAAAAGTTAAAGGGGGCGACATTATAGGGGATCACCCTGTACATTACTTTATTTTGTATTATCAATAAAATAGTATGTTCTGTAAACACAATCTTCAACTAACGCACATTTGTTACGCCAGCAAATGTCAGTTTGCTATAAGCAAAATGCTGTTTGCACAGAAAGTAAATATTTTGTCCGTAAAGCAAAACATAAAGAGTTCATATGCTTACTACTACAAGCATTTTGACATTTGTTGTAAGAGCAAAACTTTACCGTTTGTGTGTAATGTCCACAAATATAATACTCTTTCCAACACATTGCTTTCAGCATATTGTTTTTTGCTACCAAAACATATGCATTTCTTTTAGTGTATTTAGTATATCGGACTAGCAGGTAAAGGTCAATTCAAGTATATGTTTGTTTTATTAAAATATTTAGTTGTAAAATATAACTAAATGCGATTGTTAAAATAACCTAATGTTTAGTTGGCTTTATAGAGAAAAAAAGGTTTAGTTAGCCTAACTATTATTGGTTTCATTTAATTAAATCTGTTGTTTTAATATATTGAAACAACATATTTAGTTAAATGATACCAATGATAGTTAGGCTAAATAAACCTTTTTTTCTGTGTACACTGTTCAAAATTTCATGACCATTTTAACACCAAATTAACACCATACATGGTCTATATCGATACAAACCAAAATGGTGTTAAATATGGTTAGTTGGTCCAGTGTAAATTCAAATACTAAAATGGTGTAAATTTAACTACACAGAAAAAAAGAAAAAAAGAAATTCCTTGACGAATTACAAGTATATTACCAGTGGTATTATTCCAGAAAATTGAACCTTCAACTCGCTAGAGATAATGTTTTTAGTGCGTTCCACCAACTTAAAATAGTTCAAGTATTGACAGCTGTTTCCACCTATTTAAGGTCTCTTTAATATCGAACAACTTGTAGTGTCACACCAAAGCAAAGGACTACCTGAGCTTATATACTCTTCATGTAAGTCAACAGAGGCGAGATTTAAGAACATCACGTGATCCACACCGCCTTTGCCGCGATCGGTACACACTATGCAACCAGGAATGCAAGGCAAATTGTTTTAATCGTTTTAACAGAGTGCTTTAGGTTGAAGTAACTCTTATTTTACAAACAACATATTTAATAAACTGAACCATACAGCGGGTTGGTTTCACTAAAGTTTTCTGGGTTAATTTAACCAATTTAAAAAACTATCTGGTTTGGTACCGTCAAACTAATCTTTGTTTATATTAACCTTCCCACAGTTGTTTTAAATAAATACTTATGGGTCAACTAAATTAATATAGTTAAATGACTTATTCTTTTTTTTCTGTGTAGGTGCACTTCTCAAATATTTTTAGATAAACACCGTTTTGGTGTTTGCTGTATATAACATTTACAACCATAATTCATGGTGTTTATATTAACACCACTTGGTGTTGGATTTTGACACCATTTTAAGATTACTCTTTACACTACAGATATTTTAAACAGTGTACATTTAAAATAAGCCAAAGACCTAAACCTAACGTGTAAGAATGAAATTTTAATGTCAAACATGGCTTTTATAGCTAGAAATATATTCACGCCTCGTTGAAATATTTAGTAATTAAATAGTATATAAAAATCTGTAATTATGACAAAACTGAAAATTTATTATAGTCTTTGTAGCGGCATTACCTCCACTACTCAGGCAAACAAACACCATAAAAACAGACAAAAGTATAAAACATTTTAATTACAATTACGTGACAAAATGTACGGATTGTCGAGGCTCACATTTAATCCTACCGACAATAAAATAATCCCACAACCAAACTTCACAATACCATAAACATTTCCTTATCCTTCGAAGAATTTCTAGCCTAATTAATATCCAAAATCCCAATTTGGAAAGCCCTTGCATTAGCTCCAAATTTCAGGTCGACGTACAAGAGCACGTAACGGCCGAACTACCTGTATCTAAAATATAAAACCTAGTCCTATCCTAAGCTAATCACTCAGTAACTCAGAACTCAGAACTCAGTCATTTCAATTCAGTGAACCCAGTTCCACCATCCGGTCGACATCATTCAGTTAAGTTCCAAACTATCGGGCCTCGACATCCAACTTAAACGCCGTTGTAAGTTACACCACTATTTTTCATTGTAAATAAATAACGTACTACGAACAACACAAGTGTTTAACTTCACACGAAAAATACCTCACTACAACCCCCGCAGTCCTAAATAAAGTCTTTTTTGGATTGTTCTTCATCATTGGACTTTTTTTTGGATTGTACATCTTCTTGTTCTACTCCCTTATCATCAGAGTCTTTTTCAGGTGGTTCCTTTTTTATCAAATTTTTGTTTAGATTTTATTTTATTATTGAAAAAAACGCATAGCTCAATTTTTCACTAATATCAATTGATTTTTCTGATTAATTTGTTGTTAAAGCCACATCAGTAGTAATATTATTAGCTTGAGGTATTAGGAAGAAGTCTAGATAATGTTTTTGCTTAGCTTTATTCGCATTTTTTTAAATGCATCATGCAGTTTAAAATATCAAATATAATGACCAATGAATCTGAAATAAGTAATGTGAACAAACAATAAGAAATTAACTTATAGAAGTTAAAAATGCTAGGATACTTTCTTTGTTAGGTTAGGTTACTAATGAATTACCATAAGCCATAGGTAGACTGTAGGGCATGACTGATTCACGTTCAGATACCTATGGCAGAGTAAGAGGCGCAGTGCTGATATGTGATGAAAGAAGAAGCGGAGCTTATTACACGCCGATTGTTACCGGGTTCTGCAGAACCATGGTTGCCGCGTAATTGTAAAAAGTAACGATATACGACGATTTTGGGGCTTCCAAAAAATGGGACCCTTTAGGGCATGTATGCCTAAATACGCCATTATTTATGTTTGTGTCAAAAGTGGTCACAACGTTCCAGATAACAGACTTTCACACCAAAAAAAAAAAACCATAAAGTCTATTCTGCAGATGCACCATGGTGCAAATCACATGATTACAATTATGATACTACAATATGAAGATATTTTAAATATATTGTGGTAGGCCACTTAGTTGAAGATGCGATATCAGTTTTTCTCCCTATAATGCAACTTTATAAAGTAGGCTAATAAAAGAATAAATTAAATAAAATAATGTTTTGGTTGATACTTTAACTGTAAATAACAAAGTAAATAACTAACCAATAAAATAGATAAAATTGTTGAAGCGTAAAGACGTCTTCTTTTCAATTTACTATATTCTTTGTCCTCGAGAGGTTAATTGGATTCAGGCGTTGTTTTCAAACGGTTCCGGGCAATTGATCTTCTTCTAAATCCGGGCATGATCGTCTAATCTCATTGGGTAAACAAACACCGTGTATAATTATACGGGCAAAAGACGGGGGCAGATAGTGAAGGGGGTCGGGGTGGGGCGGTAGCTGGGGGGCGGAGTGATGAATGTGTATGTTTAGCTTCGTTAGCTGGCGACAGACTTTAATTATCTCTCCAAGGATTCCGACAGCATTAGCATCAGCAGCACAGGCTTCATTACTGCTCAGGAAAAGTTTCTTCTTCGCCGCTCCTGCTGCCGCCGCCACCGCGATGTTGTTTATGCTTCATTGCGCCGTTTTGCTGCCCGGCTATTCGAGCAATTTTATCTCGTTATTAGTTTCTGGAATTTATAGTTTTACCGAACTACGTTCAACTACAAGATAAAGGGGTTCTTATTAAAACACATGAACATTTATGAAATTTAATTTGAAAATAGTTAAGCACGTACAAAATACAATCCAACAAATTTACATACAATAGTTAATGCTCAGCAGCGAAAACTTTATTTTAATACTATTTTAAAATAAGGGCTTTATCAAACTTTTCGCATTATACTTCATGCATTCCGGGTATTTATTTATTATATGTTTACCTAATACGAACATTACGTGTTTTATTACAAACAACTAGAATACTTTGGTAAATAAACTTTAGGTATATTATAAACTCACGTATGCAGAATCTGCTATTTATTTATTTAAATTAAATCAACTGTTACTTCACAAAATATTTAACACAACAAATTTAAACCATTCAAAAAACATTTCTAAATGCAAAACAAAGCGGCTATGCCTTGAAGCAAGTACTATTCAAAGCGTATAGGTTGGTTTATGTATGTATATATATGTATATACCCTATATATATATATATATATATATATATATATATATATATATAATATATATAGGGTGGTCGATCTTTTGAGAATTTTTAAATTTTTTTGCTCTCAGGGGCTCATAGTGTCCAAAATACACTATGAGCCCCTGAGAGCAAAAATTTTCAAAAGATGGACGACCCTAATATACATATATAAATATATAAAGTATAAGTATAACTATATAAATTGTTCGAGATTGAGTTACTGAAGTAGTATATATGCTTATTAAATAAATATATGTAATCTCTATGGAACCCTGTTCCTAGGGAACCATTATTTATTATTATTATTATATATATAACAAACTTATACACGATTTTAGTTCTGTACCATAGATAATAAATCTGTACCTTAGGAGAAATAAAACTTTTTTAAAAGAACATAATACTATTTCCTAAAACTCCAAGACATTCATTTTGCTGCTCTAAAACATGGTCCTTCGAATCCTGTGGTTTGGAGTATATTAGGAAAATATTTAAAGTGAAATTTTATTGAAATTTGTTCCTGACAATACGGTTGCGCCGTAGATTTGGAGCATTTATCGTGCCAGATAAAATTTTGCTGAAATTTGGAATTTGTTCCTGACACAATACGGTTACGCCGTAGATTTGGATCAAGATTCTTTTATCGTGCTAGAGTTTGTCTCTTATAAATAATAATTAAATATTTTATTAAATTGCTTCTGTCAGTGGTGACAATTGATACATAATATATTTTGGATATGAAAACCAAAATAATGGAGTATTCCGAGCATCTTATTAGAATTAAGAGTTATTTTTTGGAACTTCACAGCTGGAAACAACGTTTAAATGCCTGCGAAAATTTAAATAAAGAAATGTTACAATGGAATCTAGGAAAATTGGAGAACTTGGAAAAGAATATTAGAGAGGAGCATATGATAATCATCGCACTCAAACCAGGTCAAGGAACTGGAGATTTGGAACTCTACAATCCTGAAGAATACTATGCAGCTCTAGACACGTATGTTCTACTTATTAACAGTCTTTGAATTGCTAGCTAATATTGATTCAATTGATAGACAGGAGGGGTCAGTTAATGGCAGGGTTAGGAAAAATATAAAGCTTCCTCAAATCATTCTTCCAAAATTTAACGGTAATCAAGACTCTTGGTTAAATTTTCGAAATTTATTTACTTCTTTGGTAATTGACAATAATCAACTTTCAGATATTGAGCGATTACATTATTTACATGCTAGTTTAACCGATGAAGCTCTGATACTCTCTTAAACTGCAGTAAATACCGTTGATTTCCAACCAATTTGGGAAATTTTAAGGGATAGGTACGATAATACGATTCAATTAGTCCATTCGTTAATTTTGTCTAATATTGAATTTCCTGAAATTGTTAATGATTTTTGGAATAATTTAAAAAAGTTTCGTGATGTTATTTTGTCAGTTGTTACTGCTTTAAAAAACCTGAAAAGACCAGTTGAACATTGGGACGATTTATTGGTCTGCTTAATCAACCTAAAACTTGATAAAATTTCTAGAGAAAAGTGGAAATTAAAGGTTAGTGAACAAAATGAGTTACCTACATATGTTGAAATAATAAAGTTTATTGATACCAGAATTCGGTGTTTGGAAGTGTCTAAAAAATCAATTATAAAAACTGGTTATAAAAACACAAAACCAATCCATGTCCATCAAAATTTACAATCTTCCAAAATTATTTCAAACCAAAAGCCAACTATCACACTTTCTAATAAATCTTCATCTTGCGATTATTGTCAAGGAAATCATTTTATTTTATATTGTCAGGAGTTTAAAGCACTCTCGGTTTCTAAACGATTAACATTTGTTACCAAGTCAAAATACAATCTGTGTTTAAATTGTCTAGGTGAACATGAATTGTCTAAATGTAGATCTAAACATAATTGTTTTGTTTGTCATCAACGGCATAATTCATTGCTACATAAAGATTCTCTAGATAATCAAGTTAACACTAGTATAATTTCAGAATTTCCAGAAAATCTTAATGTACATTTATCTTCAAACAAAAGAAGTTCTTCCATTGTTTTGGCTACTGCTTATGTACTGGTTCAAGCTCCGTCAGGGCGGAAAACTTTGGCCAGAGCAATTCTTGACCAATGTTCTGAATGTAGCATTATTTCAGAACATTTAACACAAGTGTTAATGTTACCAAAGAACCGAACTTCAACTACAATAACTGGAGTAAATGGCACAACAACTGGAAATGTGCTGTCTTCTGTTAATTTTATGATTAATTCGGTTAATTCTAGTTCTAAACCAATTAATGTTCATGCGTATGTTCTTCCTCGTGTTACCACTTATCGACCGCCTGAGATTCTTAAGTCAGATCTTCCATCCGATTGGCAAAACCTTGAATTTGCTGACCCGCACTTTGAAAAAGAAGGAAGGATAGATTTGCTGTTAGGCGCAGATGTTTATGGGTTGTTTTTACGCGATGGTTTTTTAAGATCCAATTCTAGTCTAGTTGATGTGGAGAAAATGTTTCGACAAATCAGTATTGCTCCTGAAGATAGACATTTTCAATGTATTTTATGGCGTTTTTCTCAATTTGAACCTCTTCAGATCTATGAACTTAATACTATTACTTATGGTCTTCGTTCTTCTCCTTTTCAAGCTAATCGAGTTATTAAACAGCTTTGTCAAGATGAAAGAATTAGATTTCCAAATGCATCTAAATGTTTAGAAGATAACGTTTATGTTGATGACGTTTTCTTCGGAGGGGACGATATAATTGAGACTCGTAAATTAAGAGATAAAGTTATTAAGCTTACTGAGTCAGCTAACCTGCCATTGAGAAAGTGGGCGTCAAATGTTCCAGAGATGATACAAGATCTCGGTTCTGAAGAATATAAGTTAGCTATTGACATTCCATTTATTGAAAGTACTACTCTTCGTGTTTTGGGAATACAGTGGAATCCCTCAAAGGATCGTTTTCAATATCATGTTAAACTTGAAGCTGATTGCACAACAAAGCGTCAATTGTTGTCTACCGTATCTAAACTATATGATCCTTTGGGATGGATTTCACCTATTACCATTAAAGCTAAAATCTTATTACAAAGTCTTTGGATTCTTAAGATTGGTTGGGATGATCCTCTTCCCCCTCATATACAAAAACAATGGCTAATTCTCCATAATAGTCTTATTTCCACATCTGAGATTACTATACCAAGATGGACATTTAATTCAAAACATATGTCAACTACACGGGTTTTGCGATGCTTCAATGGCTGCCTATGGAGCAGTTGTCTATTTAAGAGTAGAACATAATTCTAAGATAATAAATTCTTTACTTATCTCAAAAACTCGAGTTGCTCCTCTTAAAACTGTTAGTGTTCCTCGGTTAGAGCTTTGCGCTGCAACTCTTCTTTCTGATTTACTTTGTTATATTATTTCAGCTTTAAAAATATATTCTGTTCCTATATTTTGTTGGACTAATTATTCTATTGTTCTGAGTTGGCTACAACATCCTTCTTATACTTGGAAAGTTTTTGTTGCAAATAGAGTTTCTCAGATACAGGATTCTTTACCAAAAGCCATCTGGAAACATGTTCCTACTTCTCAAAATCCTGCAGACCTCGCTTCTCGTGGTGTTGATAC